TGTAAAGGTTAACAATACTACCCAGGTATGCGAAACAAAGTAGATGGGGTAAGGTTCGCACGTAGAACTTAGTTGCCGAAAGTTCAGCTTCTTAATCCCTAAGCCACTATTCATGTAATTAAAATTGTTTGTTTACATATCAAATAATCAACTAAAATAAATGAACTATGAATTATCTACCAATTAAAAAGCTTGGTAATCACAAAGAAGAAGAGTTCAGTATAAAATACTTACACTCTTTACTTGATCTATTTTCACTAGTCCAATGACATGAAACAACAACATACATTGTTATGTTATAGTTAGTTAGTTAGTCTTTCATAGATTTAACTGAAAACCACCATTGTACAATAATGAACATATTAAACTGGCAAGATTTACTGTGAGGAAAGTTTAATCGTTAAAAAAAAACAAATTGGACAAACAAATCATTATGTCAACCGTGCGCATACAGGTATATTCATGACAAGTATGTAATTTTTTTTTCAACAAATCGTTATTTTTTTTTTTTATTTGTCTAGAGAGAATTTAATATGTTAAGAGAGAAATGAACTGAAATAATTGTAAATAACAAGTACGTTTGTTTAGTCAAACTGGATTTAGTTGGATTTTAAAGTCTTTAACAAAATAATATCTAGTAAATTCGGAATTTCCAAGTTCCATATTAACTATAGCTGAGTGACTGACTAAAGGTTGAATACAATGTTGCAACATATGTTTTCACAACTATGTAATTTTAATTTATATTAGATTAAACTTTTATTTCTTTTTGTATTGTGATATTTGTTTATCATGTAGAAGTTGACGTTTGTGGGTTTCAAGACACAAAATTTTGTGGCCAATCAACCTCTGATTCATTAGATGACAGCTTCAAAGTCTGTTCATAGTTTGAACTGGCTAGTCAATTAGCCAGTCAAATGAGACGTAGAATCTGGTACGTGAACACATCGGTTCAAATTACTATACCCGATTAACACAGCAAGATGAAATGACGCAGTAAATCATAGGGTAGTGGATTTAGTAACAATATTAGTGGTAATAGAAAATGTTAGACATTGAAGATAAGAACCAATAAAATATAAATTAGTGGAATAATTTTTTTGGAAAACTATGAGGAATTCAGAAACTTAGAAAACCTCCAGCAGCGCTATATATCCTCTTGGACAAATGGTCATCATATTACTAACTTTCACACATATATACACAAGAAAACGTTTACTTAGAATCAAGTAAACAAACCTGTTTTTAGTGAGTTAAACTCAAAGTTCACGCTTCGTCGTAATTCTCAAAGATGCGATACTGCATTGGATAAACCTAATCAAGTTCATTTACTTCAAAGAATGTGATCATTTGAGTGGAATGTTTGAGTTGAAAGTAAGAAGTAGTGAGGTTGAAAGATTGTACGGAAACTGATAGAAAGCTCTAGATCAGTGCCGTGGTAACACACACTTTTAATTAAGGAGTATTTCCAATCATGAGGAAATTAACGTTCTGCGTAGGGTTACGAGCAGTGTTGCCTAATGTAAGTCAGAGATAGTATCAACGAGATATTTATGTCACAACTAACTGTCTGTAGGACTAAGACATTTATGGTAATCAGTCAATGAGTAGTAACCAATGTCAGCCTTGTTTGGTCTTATTGACCGAGTTATATAGCAGCTGTCTGAATAGTTCAGAGGCAACACTTCTGAATGAAAGTGAACTCGATAAGATGATTGTCGAAGCAACTCTGAGATAAATGGTAATCAGTTTGCACAGGTAAATGTTTTAAAGCTACCACCAATATTTACAGATACAGATCACTTATTTGGGAATCAAAATCGTTAAAATGAAGGCTTACGAATGTGGATTTTTTTTACCAAAGTAAATTAATAGCTGGAGAATTACCCTTTTCATACTGTTCAAACTGTAATAGTTTGATGTGTGAACGGTGGCCGCAGATATAAATTTATCCAGAGATCAATAATGTGATGTATTAACATCTCGCAACAATGTTGAATGTTCATCAGTCAAGGTAGTTGGGACATGTGTTTCGTATGCCTAACTACCGACTGCCTCGACGAGCAATGGTGTCTGGTGTAAGGTTAGGCCGGAAGAAAGGTATGGGCGGTCAAACCAAAACATGACACAAATCCATGAAGTCATTGATAATAGGACTAAGCTATGTTAGTGGGTGTAGACTACCTGGTTAGGGTCGTTTGCAATGGCGCAGATATATCCATTCTTTGTCTTTTCTCAAATTCCAATTTTCTGAATTCCTTATCCCTTTTTTTTATTTTTAAATTTATTTCACTGGAATGTACTTCATGAATCATATCTTCGAACCCTAATCTAATCCATTGTTGCTTATACTCCTATTTTTGTTACTATGGGCTTTGATTCGACAATTCGATCTCTCTGTGCTAATGTGGTATGGCAAATCAAACTGATACACGTACGTACCAAGTTTTACGTTGTTGCTGATTTATTGACTCATTACCCTATAACAGATAATTAGTTGAGACTAGCCGCATGCCATTTCATATTCACAATTTGTAATTCAACAGCACTAACTTGAAGAAACAATGAGAATAACTATTTTTAGAAGGGATCATTTCTAAAACCCTCATTCTCTGTGGAGGTAGAATTACTGAAGATGTTTGTTATTCATGAAGATAAGATACTGAGATCTCATAGTAGCAGAGCCGCCATTAAAACTTCATTTTAGGATCTTGAATGCGTTGCTTCCAGTTTCATCACTTCCAAGTCGAGCAGACAATCAGTCAAAAGGATATTAAAGCATAGTAATAAAAATAAAAAGTCTAAAGTTTCTCCTCTGTTTTGTGAAATGGACAGTTGATTATCTGGTTTGTTTTGCAATGATTATTAAACATTGCCCTGTTTAATACGGTTATTAGGTGAACTAATCACACTTGTAAGGAAATTTGATATTACCCTGTTGATGTTCGGGATTGCATGTGATCAATTCCTACTGGCATGTATACCCTTCGACTTATTATGGTCTATATGTGCAAGGTTTGGTAAATTTTTGGACTGTTACTAACAATCTAATCTAAACCCTTAGAAATACATTCATGCCCGTTGAGCTAACAGTTACATGGACACAATGGCCGAGCGAACAATACGTTGCTATTCAACTCTACAGAGAGTGAATTCAAGTTTCAGGTGGAGCATCTCAACATTAGGATTCAAGTATAAAATGCACATCTTCGATTCAATTACTAATGACAATACAAAAATATAACTAGATTTCATTTCACTCCAATTTAGTAAAATACCGAGTCGTATTTTGATCTAGAAGCCAAACCTAAGTCAGTCAGTCAGTCAGATGCAACGTAGAACTTCGTACGTAAGTACATCAGTTCATGTTGCCGTCCTTGGAGAGAAGAGAGGTGTGAGTTGGCGTAAAAAGGATTTGATTTCGACCAATTTGGTCTCGTGTGCTGTTACGGGTATGAGGGCGGTTGCCACTTCCCGGCTGCCCACACCGTGGAAGGTTGTTTCTTGACGAACCTGAAAAGGAAGATAGATTAGTGTTGGTCTCGGAGACCTGGTTGCGTGACCGCAGAGTCCAAGGGACAACTGCTTGAGGCCGGTCACGCACGGCCTTTTTATGAGAAGTTTTTTGAGTGCTAGCTCCGCTCTTAAAGGCCCTTAGTGGGCACCCTTACCCAAGGAGACGGAAATCCGTGAGGTAGGGTGAGGTGTGACATTTTTAGGGTCGACCTTTTCTAAACCTTCCTTCCTTGTGTGAAGGCAGCATCGCTGCAGATGCTGATTGTCCGAGGGAAACACCTTACTGCTGTCACACCCCTCTGCAATCAGCAGTACGACTTCGCCCTCAGACCTTGGTTAGCTGCTTTTAGTCTCATCGTTCTCCAATCGACCTGCCTGGCATGGTAAAACCTTCAGGAACATATGTTCCAGCCAATATAGCTCGGTTAGGTCATCACGATAGGCAAGCCCGACCACCACGTCAAGGTAGCAGCTATGGTCGGGAGCCAAACCTAATGTTAGAAAGCTATTAATAATACTGGGGTTTTTTTTTGTTCCCACCCAAATGGATTGTACCGATGGGGATAAGATAATTGGAATAAACACCAGTGGTTTAAATTACCTCAATCACACACAGTTACACAGATGAGTGAGTATGTTTCATTTTATGAAATGACATTTTTGAATAAATTTTTGTATCCTGAATCAAAACCGAATTCAATTTTTCTTTTTAAATAATATATATGTTAGAGAAGATAAAAGAGAGAGAAAAAGAATCAATTTTTGCATATGGCGATTTTAAAACATAATCATATGAAAGAAAATTTTAACATACATCCAATCAAAATATACATTACAAAGTATTCATGTTAGAATGCATTAGATTTGGTAAACCTTGTATGTTTGTGTTGTTATTTACATGTACATATCATGAATAAATAATCTTTAAAGTTATGCTTATACCAATGATTATTTATGATTTTTGATACACTGACTATATGAACAAGATCACTAAAAAAATAAACGCAAGTTAACTGGACTAGATAAAGAAATCACTTGTTTACAGAGTTGATAGATTGTTAAAATTAGGCTTGAGAGTAACACAAACAAATTTTATAACTCTTAATGTCGTCGATTGGTTATATATAAAACCAACTACAAACCAGTAAATTGTGAAATGTAGAATAAAATATTAATATTCAATATAAGTTGTTTAAATGATACATATCAGTAAAGACTAGTATTAAAATGTTAGAATTCTAAATAACACTTCAATATAGAAATCAATATGATGAAAGCCCGACTGAAGTCGACGTTACTTCTTGCTCAGATATTTTTGGACCACTTGATAACAGCAATAACAACAACAACGCAGAACTTCGTACATAAGTAAATCAGTTCAGGTTGCCATACCACGTTAGCACAGAGACGTGACCACTTAAATAAAAACACTTAATAAAAACATTTAAACATAGAAATTCATAAATTCATACAACAAAACTCACTTCAGCAATTTCTAAATGATTCCAAAAACAAGCATAATGTAAAGCTGTATTACCATGTTCATTTGCAGCATCTACATTAAGTCGATGAGAATTTAACAAATAGTGTACAACATCAAAATGTCCATGAGCTGCAGCTAAATGCAAAGCTGTATCATCACCCATATTGGTTGCGTTAACACGTGCACCGCGAAGAACTAATAAATCCACTATATTTCTTTGTCCTTCACGTGCAGCCCAATGTAACAAGCTGAATAAGTGTTCATCGCCTTGATTTACATCATTTTCTATATCATCTAACCATAATTTCACTTCATGAAGATTTCCTTCACGAACATGAGCAATAATAGTTTCCATGAGTTAAAAATTAACTCAATATACTGATATGCCCTGAAAGTAAACATTTTTACATTAATTGAACAAACACAATTAGATTAGTCCAAAAAGTTGAACTCTGACTGGAATGTGTATATTTAAAAGATTAATTTACAGGTAGACAGAAATAATGATTATCTTTTTTTATAAGAACAAGGTTTTAAGATTAATTTCGGTAAGTTGTGCACAAGGTCAGGGGAACAAGAGGATACTTTACGAAGGAGAGCACGAACAAAGTATGTATCACTAGTTATCTCTGAAAATTGTTTGGTGAATCCAAAGCGCTTTAGTTTCTTCAGAAAATCATTGAATTTTCCATCGAATCTACTAGTTACATCAACAATCACCAGAATACCACTAAAAATAAAATGTAGACAAAATAGTAAAAACAGTTAATCCTGCATGAAACAGTTGCGTGAATCATACAGTTCAATTAATGTGAACAAAGGGAGAAAAATAAGAAATAGTGATAGACTTCTAATAATAAATACGTGTCCCTTGATCACTTCATAAACTAACCAGATTGACCATAACAAAAACATTCAGCGATAATCTCGTATGCACTTGTTTCTCGAAATTTCGCAGTAGCATGATGATGAGTAAAATGTAATTTAGATCACGGTATTTTAGCTGACTGCTTTGTGCAAGAAACATACACTTCCCACCATGAAGCAAATAAACGAGTAGAGATAATCATTTTTGTCATTTCCCTGTTTTATATTCAAGCTTTCAAATGCGAATACTAAGATTTCGAATCCGAAAAGTCTTTTTACACAGTCTTGTAATTGTTCCTGACATCTTTCGGACAAACAACAATGTGAAAATGTCTTCAACTACGCTTCATATGCTCGAAAAAACTGTTTTAAAAGGCAAATTACTTGTCACGCGATATCCCGTTGCCGCTGTCAAGTGTTTTCAAGATGTGGATTAAGATTAACGAAAGTGAAAGATACTGGATGTTATGCAGTTGAATTCTACTGAACATGTTGAAGTTAAGCATAATGTTAGACCAGCAGCATAGGTCTTTGATAATTGTCCTGAACAAATGGGGGAATTCACTTTTTTTCGTGTACTGTTTTTCATTTAATCAACACTATCAAGAAGATCATTAGCTACTGGCTACCTGCACACTAAAATATAAATGAAGCAAATACTACAAAACTGATATAATTATTTGGTCAAGTAGGTGTTTTTGTGCTTGGATTTCAGCCAAACCCAATGAAGTAGGGTTGCACATATTATTTTGGCAAAGTGGAGTTTGAAACTGTGCGTTATTGATTAAAGCTATATGCTATTACACTTATTCAACTTCTCGTTCTAGATTTTAAGATTTCATGAGCAAGGTTATACCTAAGTAAGCAGACATAGTACATGATTCTAGGAAATCGAAATAGTACATTGAGCCACTTACTCAGATTTCAAAATACGATTCGCTTCGTACAAGAATTCTGAACAATTAGTTCCCATTAGAGAGAGACAAAACACTGCGAAATCAACTTCATTGTCTTTGAGCGGTGTCTACAAGAAACAAAAAACAATTTCTATGACCTAGTTTTATTTCCAACGGGATTAGAAAGGTTAAATGCAAACACCAAAAATTAAGATCTCAGTGGAGAACTTCCTAGAAAACTTAGTTTAAAAATCTATAGCTTTGTAATATGGAATACTTGAGAGTGATTTTTACTGTATTATGAACAAATAAAACGAATGAAATGCATTTCTAAATTTCTAAATTAAAAAGGAAGAATACTGATGTAAACTCATTTAACACAATATTTATGCTAAACATCGAAACGTTGGACCATCAGTCAACCCATTAGCATTGTGTCACGAATCAGTATATGGGTTGTGATGTGTAAAAATCCCTTCTAATTCATTTAGTAAGTTCCGCCTTACTTAATCCAAAGAAGTGGCTTACACTGAGTTACAAAACATCATAAAATTTAATTTTTCTACCCACAGAGACGTCACAAATACAATATTTTAGCACTTGCCGACAAGAATTTGAGCTACACTGGAAGTTCGGGGGTTAATGATACTACTTAAATCCCCAAACTGGAATAAGTAAGACTTAGTTCGACGCCAGGCTTACAAGTTAGAGTCCAATTAATCTAACCAATAAGTTGCAACTTTTGTTAGTATAATGATAATCTGAAAATCCTCTGATTACTAAGTAGTTGCATTCACTTGATCGAATAGATTCTCACAAGTATTGACGTCCGGTTGTATTTTTTGGCTAACATTTATTAACTTACTTAAAAAATGAGTCAGTCATCCACAATGCAGAACCCAGCACACACTGGGATCAGATCAAGTTACCACACCATACCGGAAAAGTGTGATAAAATTAAAAATTTGCATAACAAAACATTCGGGATAATTATAGTAATTAAAAACTTAATTCCGTACAAACAAAAGGAATGAGGAGAATGAAATGATCTGGATTTACACTGACAATGAGGATATCTGAGATATTGCGGTCGATTTTGATTCATGTCACCTAAGGTCAACAAGTATTATTTGATACTAATTACTAATTAGTTTGCATAAAATAAAAATGATCAAACCAGCGGTCAGCGGTTTCAGAGACCAATCGTATGACGGTTCGGGTGCAACTTTTAGTTTGCTTCCAACTAGCTTTCCTATCACATCAAGGATAACAATTGGGGTATGTAACGGCCGGTAAGCCTAACGCCTAACTACGTGAGTTGATGGAACTCTATGACTATATCAATCGGAATGTATTTTTTCACCTGACAACCGCTGTTAATATCACTCAATACGTGTTTCCGTCATACGTGGTCAATGTTCCGAAGAAACCATTAGCAGATCACTGCAACCTATGCACACATTTTGTTTAGCGTGATAGTCTCTTTGGGGTCAAGACATTCAGTTTCAACCGGTGGGTCGAGAACTCTGATCGATTTATTTTAATCTACAAACCGATTATTATGAATAATTCTAACATAACTAATGTGGTTCAAAGTCAGTTAAATAAACATGCCGCTGGTAAATGACTTACATTAAAATAATAAACTTTTATAGGTTATGTTTCACAACCATGAACTAAAATGGGACTGATGTTTGTGTAGTATACTCTTCCCATTGCTGGAAGACGGATACTTCACTTGTAACAGGTTGGGAAACATTGAATGAGCAGTTCGTACCCCAGAAAGGGTTTTATCGCCCGCTAACTTAATATAACTGATATAACTTTAAAAACGAGTGGTCGCAAACTTTCCGAATTGCTTCACCCCCTATGATTAAGCTAGATAATCAGATCAATGTTGAGTAATTCTTTTGCATTTTGAAGGCGATGAACATTTTAGACATTTATATTTCCACTGAAGGCGTCTAGAAGATCAGATTTAGCCAGTATTTTAAAAGAAAAGCTATATCATTTACATTTTGCAGGTCGTTGAGAGTATCCTCGTGAAGTACTGATCTCTTCAAAATTAGGTGATATAACAATCGCCCTTAGCAGCATGCCTGTCCGAAGAAAATAGAAACAAGGGGAGTACGAATTCTTAACCAAAAGAAGCAAACGTATTAACAGCCCTAAGTTTTGTTTTTTTAATTGAAGCAATATTCCTGTGTATTTTCCTGTTTGTAACTGTTCATCCGAATTAGTACTCGCACTACCGTATCGAATAACCATTACAGCACTTAAATGATTGCATTAGTTTTACCAGCCGCATCACAAATTAGTAATTCTGCCCATTGTTTAGGTAAAATGTATCGAGTCTGTTGACTGCCCCACTCATCTTGAGAGTCTCATCAGTCCTGATAGCATGGATTTTTGATGAAAACTTGGCACGAATAGAGAAGGCTCGATTGGTTTTTTCTCAGCTTTCGTCACTTGTGGCGTAGGCGAAATATCCGTCTGCTAACCTAAGGACGGGTTTGCCGTAAAGCAGTTGGCTGTTTTCTACTTCTACTACCTCTGCTACTATGGAATTTGAATTAACAATCCCATCTGTACGTGCTAATGTAGCATGATAACTTGAACTGATATACAGACGTACCAAGTTCTACGTTGTAGCTGACTGACTGATGACTAGAATACTTTGGTTTCGGTTGCTAAAGTACAATTTGAGGCCCATACTCCATCTAATCTTTTTTGAGAAGCTGGGTATAGCTATCAGTACTCACAGCAAGGATGAGAACTTGCACTAGGTTACTTATACCTAGTAGGTTTAAATAACGATAAAACTAAATGTAAACGTTTTAACGCCATAATGCAACTATCTAAACGATAGCAATTGTTTATAGGTCTTGCTACAATCTGAATGGCTTGCTGTATACACAGAGAACTTAGCATAAGTTATAAATATTACTAATCAATTGAGTTAGTCAAACAAAGTGGTTAAACATTCCAGTGCTAGGAGTTTCCAGGGAAAATATAAGGAAATGCAATCATGGAAAGTGGAGGGGGAAATTTAATCAAAATCGATGGATTATATGGTATTTAATGATACAACTTACGTGAGCCATATCACAAGCAATGACGCGTTCGTTTGTGGAGACAAGATCGAAAGAGTACACTTTGTAACAGCTAGGTAATAGAAGACTTAATCTCCCATCACCACATCCAAGATCAGCCACTTTGTAGGTTTTGTGTAAATCTGGACATTGTTTGGTAATTTGACTCTTAACCCAAATCAGTGGGTCCTGAGGCCATTGGGAAAGTTGACGTTGATAACCTTCGTGGTATATTTCGAACGATTTAGGATCCTCCTTAAAAATGACAGCGGCTTCTTTACTTGTACAAGTATACAACTTTTCATTCAAAAACCGAAACCTATAACTTACAACGTACAAATGCAAAAATCTTACATTGAAGCGTTTATCAAGGAATCAAAACTATTTTTATTTTTGGCACATTTAGATGTTTTTGATGGTTTTACAGAGTGACGTCTGAGCTTTTTCCGAGGTTCTGCAAGCGTTTTCCTGAGCTTCGATAAGTTGAACTTTGCCATATGGAAAATAGAGTAGCGTCTCTTTCTAATTTACCCCTAAATCATGCAAACTCCAAACTTCGTGATATTAATGACTAACTCAAATTACTGATATTTTATACGCTAACTGTTACAACTCCTTGACTCTGAAATCTCCCGTACTGAAATGTTGTTGCCTGGACCCGAATGAGACGATATAGACTATTAAGAACGCCGAACTTTAGTATATCAATAAAAAGTAAAATAAGGATGTAGAAAAAGTGCTTTCCAATAGATGCCTAAGGCAGAATCTGTGGGTTGAATAAATCCACAAGGGAAATAATATGCTGAGTCCTCGAAATCAATGCCTAATTCACTGGTTTTGTCAGACACTCTAGCTGACGGCGCTCAGCACCTGATCACCATCGGATATGCTATGCTACACAACCATACGCAAAATATTAATCCAACCCCTTTATCTCACTTATCTTCCAAATATACCTCCGGTCTTCATCTTCAATCACTGGTTCGACTGGGTTTGCTATTTCCTTTACTACTAACATTTCTATTCCTGAAGACTTCCTGACATTGAACCTTTCACCTTGACAAACCCTTTCGAAAAACTCTCATGCTGGTAAGCGATAATAAAAACAGTAGCTGAGGGACTCAAGTATCTTTAAAGTACCACTCATGTGATGACAAAAGTTCTCTATCTTATTGACATTGGTGTAGAAGTAAGCCTCCTTCTGCAAATAAAAACGGTCAAATGCACGATCCAGCAATCAATCGACAGGCAGGTAAACCGACCAACACTTTCGGCAAATGATACATATACCTTGACTAATGTTCACTCAACAGTTTCACTTGATTTTATTTGCGACAAATGTATCAATCCCAATCACTGATATGGACTTACTATAACACCACAAACTACTCATTCACTGAAGCAATAATTATCTGTTTATGGAGTTTCATTCTCTGGTTGTAAATTGTAACCATTCACGGATAAACACAAAAACGAGTTTCTCTTTCTACCAATGCTTGACTGGTACCTGAAACTGTACCAAACACCACCGCAGTTTTGGTGTATGGACAACAATGTCGCACATCACATCATAACTACAGGACCAAAAGTTCGGCAACTGGATCCTAAAAATATAGGACTGTCCAAAATCATACAGAACCACATGACAGAGGTTATCCGACCGTCAAGCAGTTCACGGGCATCCCCGATACATGTAGTTTCGAAATGACAGGAATGAATGGCGTGCAACCAATGATTATCTTTGACTGAAAAAGAAAACAACAACTTATCACCACCCGTTGCCTCGAATTCGAGAATTTGCAGCTACACTGAAAGGTAAAACAGTCACTTCAAAAATCGAATCGGCTAAAGTGTGTAGATAAATCTCATCGGTTGCCCAAGACATCCCTAAGACAGCTATCACCACTCTCTTTGAACTCTACGAACTTTTGTGTGCGCTCTTCGTTATAGGAAGCTCTGTTTAAACTCCTTATACGTTCACCGATTACAATTTTAGAGGTCTCAACTTTGTATACCCTCATACTGATGAGTCTGATCACAAGTTCAGACAGAGAATCTTATTTGTAGCATCTCAAACGAGTTTTCTAACGACTTCAAGAACAAGGAATTATAGTTAACATAGATAGATGTAAAAATCAAATTTTATTGATAGCTGACACTGAAACGTGCATCAGAAAGAATACAAAGCCACACACAGTATTTTATAATGGAACTCGAGATTGACTAAAAGACAAAAAGTGGATGAATCATCCAGCGTCTCCAGCTACTGACCTCGGTTATCACTCTAACCTCAACCAGATAGTTTGTATTCATCAACCTGACTCAGTTCAACACTCAGTCACTTCACGGGCTGATGCATCGTTTTGATTTGGTCACTCCCATGTTTCTATCGACCTATTTCTGAACCGAAAACCATCGCTCGTCATGGTAGACGATGTTTAGGTATACGTAGCATAATTTCTAATCACCGCATTCGGTGAAGATCCACTATCTGATCAACTGACGTTGCATCTTCCCTATGTATGCTATGGCTAGCCTCCATATTGCTCGCTAGGTCCTCCCAAAAAGGCGACTAATTTTTCGAAGACAATTATGTTCTAAAACCTGCATACTGCATATATCTTCTGTTTTCATAAACCAAGTTTGAAAGCCATCAATCGGGATATGGCCGACTGCTGCAATATACGTGCCCTCTGATTGGGATGCAGTTATCTTTCCCACATAGGGGCTAAAACCACCCCTTTGGGTTTGGCAATTTTTGTGTGCGCCCCTCATTATAACTAATGCTGCTCAAACGTTTCAGAGACTAACTGCTGATATTCTTAGATCTCTCGACCTGTGTGCGCTTATTTAATAGAAAGAATACCATCAAGCTTCCTCCACAATGTTTAATCAGACTGCGATGTTATTACTTTGCTCTGTGACCATTTTTCGTACCTGACAAACTCGGGACTCTGGAAACCACTTTTTATATTTCTCAGTCATTAGAATTCGAATTTATCTAATGTTCACCCGTTATTATTTTAATTTTGTTATTGATTTTTTCCAGCCCGTGATAGTTTAGCCATGTTCGACTAGAATCAACATTGACTGTGGTTTTTTGGGCGATTGCTGATCTTTGACTGCTCTGACCCTTTTAGAGGAATATTTGATCCCATCTTGTTGTGAATACTACTACTACTACTACTACTACTACTATCAGAAACCCGACTACTTATTGACCATTCCTTCTGTTTAGTACGCTACTTTTTGCGAGAAAAACATTCGACTGTATACCATAAAATCTTTTATAACTTTTGTATAATTCATTTTCTTCCTTAAATTAGAGCCAATCAGAGTGAGCACAGAAGTTGTGTTTTGATATATTTCATTACAAGTCGTTATAATTAGCCATCAGATGAGTACTCTCCATCCGAGTTCCGTCGAATGGACTAAGTCCGACATTTTATTTCAGATATATATCTTATCTTCATGGAAGACAATTTAGTTTAAGACACTTTTTCTGGTAAGACTCCTAGTTTTCTGATTTGACTGAATTGGGATCCTCAATTATAAAGGTTATCGTGGTTGAATTTTTCACGTTCAAATTGAAAAGAATCACTGTGCAGTTAGTTATCTTCAACTGCTAAAACTGGAAACAAAGAACGAACCATATCATGAAACTGTTTGTTCAACCATGTCAATTTCAGTTCACTGGCAAAACTGTAGTGTATAATATAAGAGGGATACAGAGGGATGTCGCCTAGAAGTTTCTGCTGAAGATAAGATTGTTGGATCTGAATTCGTGGGGCGATAAAAGTGTGTGGAGGGCTAGAAGACATATTATGGGACACAGCTAGTAATCTGCTTGCTTTACAGATGGAAGTCTGAAGATAAGGTCTACACATTTTGCTAATAATCTGTGACTTCTTCAAGCACTTCACTTACTATCAACGTCTTTATTCATTACACGATAATATTAGCAGGATGTCAGTTACGGCAGTCTAGATAACCATAATATGAATAAATTTGATCCATACTTTCATCACATATTTCCACCAAATCGAGACTACAACAACGAGCCGTTCACCATAGACAGAAATTTCTCCATTAGAGCTACAGTATGCATGCAGGTGCCAGAAAATTTAGTCTCACCACGATTGAACATGATCAGTATTGTCGATACCTCGGAAATGTTAACAAACTTTTCATGGAAAAAATCGTTTAGAACCGCTGAATATCCGCAATATCTCCAAACGCACATAACTGGCGGCTGTATTTTTATGGTAGACAAAATTTATATATTTAAATGTAGTTTAGGTCCCAAATGGGTGTTCTACTCTTTCAAAATACACCCATATGATAGTCTTTTCTAATCTAGTCTGTTTTAATTGCCACTTACTTTGCCCAGTCATTGATGAAATTGAATCATCTGACTATCACACAAGGATAAACCTGTATGGGTTCACTGAAACTTCCACAGACTCCAGCCAAATTATCCAGAGTATAAGTCAATAAATGTTAAACAATCTACTGATACTCATTAGGCAAAAGAAAACCACCGCACATCAGTCAATCACTTACCATGTACTTGTGAATGTCCCAGTGTTTGTGATCTCTTTGTTCAGCCTATTCTAGCCGAAAAAATTCTCCATTAATTTCAGTTTTGCTCTGGTTCGTTCTTGTAACACATTCAATCGGTACATTATGCACTATGAGCTCAAATTACAGGAAAACTGTATTCTGATGCAGACACTAAGAGTTTATTCGTAAATTAAGAGCAGACAGTTCAAACATATTGTGCTAGTAATAATTATGACAAAATTAGTAAAGAACCTATAAAATTTAGATTTCCAGAGCAAAATATACAAGATACCAAATCAAAAGATGCAAACCAAAACTGACCAAGGCGAAGATTATAAGTAGACACGTTCAAAGTCTGAATGAATTCGATCAATCGAAAACCCGGTTTGCGTAGAATGCTAGTTATGGGTAATAACAGTTTTAACCCACATTTGTGGCCTCGACGTCGCAGCAAAGCATACTCCGGCAATCTTGTCCTGTTGGTATTATGAAGCTGGCGAAATGCTGCATTTTTATTTATTTCCACAGTTTTCACTGTCCTGGCTTCCAAGCTATTCAAAATAATTTTTAGGCGTCTACCTATAATCTCATCTTGAAGAGGTTTTGTTGCCCAAAATTAGGAATGAAGTCACCCTCATGAAAAATGTTCAAAGAATAACAACAGAAAACATTTCGATTCAATGAAAAAGAGTCAGTTCATTTACCACCTTTCGATTTTGAAGATGAGTTTTGGATGTGACAATTTGACAGGTCAAGTTTCCTAGTATGCATTATTAAAATGTTCCAGAGACGAATAATGAATTAGATGGTGATCGAATAGGAAGATGCATCTGGAATAAAGAGAAGAACAGTTTTAACATGGCTTTTGAGATAGATGGTTATCGGATGAGCTGCACCCCACGAATGTTTCCTAATGCTTCAGTAGTCGGTGGTTTGTCTCGTGAATTTGGATTGCTAGAAAACTGGGAAATCTCAGCGGAACAAAAGGGTTAAAGGCAACTTCATTGGGATTTTTCATATTTATTTTAACTGAATGAATTGCGAACAAAACCGGGTACTAAACTAAACATAAGAGGATGAATCGTTACCATGGCATATGTAAGAACTTTAGTCCTGTAGGAACTAAAAGATTAAACTATATATTTTTCTCTTTTCTCCAATTATGAACCAATTTTTATCCCCGAAAAATTTAAAAGGAACATACCTTTAGTACCTAGGATACAACTAGCTCTCTACTTCCCTTCATTCAAGCTTGAAACCCTAACGCGCATAGTTCATGCACAATGTCTACGGCGAATTTGTGTCCAACCGTTCAGCCTTGGGCTACTTAGATCAATTCATAAAGTCGTTTGGATATGTTACGTGCAGTGTCTGTGGACTTTCCAGTAACATGGAGGTCACTAAGAGATGTCGTATATAAACTTCTTCGGTGCGATTTTGTGGATAGGGATTTGTGGAATTCTAGCTTCGGCTATGTGTATAGTTTATGTACTTCAAGTCCGGTTTCCCATGCATCCACTTTGTACAAATCTACTACAGCACTCATTAGTGAGAGGGTTGAAGAAATAGCATCAGAGCTGGAAGTGATGAGTGACTCTGACTTACTTCCTAAGTATGTGAAGTTTTGGGAGTCGTATCATCGCGGACTTACATATCTAGATATCCTGTATAGGTAAGTTTTTCAAATCTCTAATGTCTTGTGTGTACTCAGATACATGAATACTCAACACGTAAAGAATTTAAGGCCATCCGAAGCAGATATGTGCTATGGAGCAGCTCTTCCTATGGCAGATCAACATACTATGGAAATTCTGGAGGTTGGCCTTGCTTTCTGGAGACTCTATCTAATCGATTGTTTGAAAAGCCGGTTGTCTTCTTGCCTGATGCGTGAGGTTCTCAAGTTAGTCCAATCTTATATCTAAACTTCTGATAGTGATAGATTGGGAATTTGTGGGCAACAGAATTGCATCCATCCATGTTTGGCTTCCTTTCTAAGAGTTGGGGAATTGAGAGATTTTGAAAGGGTAAGTAAAGTATGGAAAAAGGCGAAATTTCAACTCTGATTTTGTATCTTAAAAACCACGTTTAACTTCAAAACCAGTCCTTTTTCTCTGGCCTGTATCTAAATTAGGATCTACAAAATCGTCCCGTCAGTGAATGCACTTGTATTAACTGGTTAATTTGTTAGAACACCCCAGTGCTACGTACATGAATTGATTTCGTAATTATTGTTCAGTATCACCATCACTAATCTTTGTTTGTCATTTTGATTAGACTATTTTTTCCATTCTCTTAATTTAATGTACTGGTGGCGCTAATACTTTTGCTCTCACATTACTTTAAAGGCTGGAATGGAAATATACAACCAAATATTTCAGAACCCTCTGATTGACGCCACGCGATCATTTTACTCGCAATGGGCATGCCAACGGGAGTCGGAATTAGGATGTGCTCAGTATGTGACTGAGGTATGTTACATTTTTCAGTACTTATAGTGTTCGTCTATTTTGTGGTTTAAAGTATTGTAGTCCAAGCCAACAAGTATTTACTGACTTGTCTTACTGTCTTTTTTGGAGTAATGTATATTGTCCGTATATACTTTCACTTGACCAAACTACGTACAATAATTAAAGCCATATACTTCCAAGTCTCTACATTTCATATTTTGTTTCCACATTCTGAGTTCTAAATCTATCTAAGTAACCACTAGATAAATCTTTAGCTCAAACATCATCAGTTACTAAAGCTTATAGTTACTTCAACTGATTCATTAAAGCGTATCCTAAGTACCACATTATGTCTCAATTAAAATCACATAAAGGACAAGTCTAATTTGCAAGACTGGTTAAAAGTTATACATTTTGACTTTCACGCCTAAATTTGTGGGTAAAATTACGTATATTTGTATGTGTATTTATGATAAAATAATCAGTTATGGTATCTCATATAACAAGATAAACCCAGGTAAGGCATTTTCATTTTCAGTTCCTTGTCCCTCGAAAAAATACTGTAGTTTAATTATCGTGCCTCATACCTTGACCCAATATTATTGTGCTGAGTAATTTATTCCTTCATATGACGAAAACTACAATCTTACGTCTACATTACATTTAAGTGTTCCTTTTCTATGTAGCTAAAAAAATTCGTTTCCGATTCATTTGTTTTTTGTGCAAAATTGTTTGAGAAGTTAATCATTTTTCCGTAGGAACCATGATTTTTTATAAAATACCAATTGTGAACAAAGCACGTGTTTTATATTTTGTAAACATCTTTCAGGCACTAGCTTTGCGAACAGAAGAATATAATCGGGCTATGCAATATTATAAATGTTCACTGCTACCAATGCAAAATTTGTTTCAAGAAATAATTGTTGAACAGCGTTTGAATTTCCTTAACATGAACGTTCGCTACGTTATTGCCGAAGAGGATAAATCGAGTAAGTGCAACATTTCTATCCTATTATCTTATCATTATTATAGTGAAGTAAATAATTCGATTCGTGCTGCAATTTTCTAAATGCTATAGTAATCCATCTCTTATGCAGATTATTTATGTATTTAGTTGTGTTGCAAGTTGGGTTCGCTTAACTTCATTGTTTTGTTAATCCCCATATAATAGCATCAGTTTGACTTAGCACACAAAAATCTATGCTATTCTAGTTTAATAAACATATATAGTTTGATGTTCTAAGACATAAGTTCTACTTTTTGCATTAAGATTAGATATATTACTCTTGTGTGAAACGGTATACTTCGAGCAGGTCCTAAATAAATGTTTTGAAACAATACGCAACTTTATGATTTACTTTTAGAGTATCATCTCCTTGTTAAGTTTTTTTCACATTTCTGTTCCCTTTCTTTGTAATAGCCTAATCGTAGGCAAACTTTAATCGCTTGATGAGTTCTTTTTATTCGATTTGGATTTTTTGGAATGTATTAGTCTTCACTAATATATGTTTTTGTACGAACTTGTACAACGTATCTAGTTTGTGAAGCATAACATCACTACAAACAAATCCATTGATATGTTTAAATAGTAAAAAAACAACAAGGTTTATGGAATAAAATGAATTCACTCTACTTCTCATCTCATTAGTTACTACATACAGCCCAAAAATCACAGCCAATAACAATTAATTTGTTAATTTCAGATGAATGTTTGAAACGTAACCAAAAAAATTGTATTCATAGCAAGAACAGGACACGAGCGTATGAATAAACATTGATACGTGTTTATATGTTGGAAAGCAGTGATGCAGCTTAAGTGTTGCTACTAGTAATCATGATGAAGAAAAAAGTGATTATTTAAAGGTAATAGAAGTAGTAATAGCATAATGATTTAACTTGATAACAAAGAAAATCAAATAAATATGTGTACATCAATAGAAAAAAAATTCTCGAGAAGAAAGGGAGCTGATAAATTAATTTAGTTTATTTGACTAATATTCAGCCACAGTTATTAGGAATCGGGTGCTAGGTAAGAATGGCAGATCAATCGATGAGGTATTGAAACTTCACCAGTTGAGGTGGTTGGGACATGTGTTGCGTATGCCCAACCACCGGCTGCCTCGTCGAGCCTTGTTTTGTAGTGTAGGAATAGGTTGGAAGAAAGCTAGGGGCGGCCAAACCAAAACATGGCAGAAATCCATGAAGTCATTGACGAGTGGACTGAGCCATGGCGGTAGTTGTCGACTATCTGGTTGGGGTCCGCGAGATGATAATGATCGATGGTTAGATGCCCTGAATGACATGGCTCAAAATCGTTTGCAATGGCGCCAGTGCATTTATTCTTTGTGTTCTCTCAAATGCTAATCTTCTGGATTCTTCAACCCCTCTAGTTTCGACTCTCTAAACTTTTCTCACTGAATCATACTTCTTGAATAGTATCTTCTAATCCTAACCTCTCCGATTACTTCTAATTCCGTTACTACCTCTACTACTATTAGATCTGAATTGACGATTACTTCTCTGTGCTGATGTGGTATGGCAACATGAACTGATGTACTTATGTACAAAGTTCTACGTTGCATCTGACTGACTATTCAGCCACAGTTATATGCAAATTTATAGCTGCAGTTGAAGGCGACTTTTGGAGGATATTGGTCTACCTTTAAATGGTGTAACAAACACTTGTTTACTGAAACCAGTTGAGCATTAGGAAAGCTTTTTTTTAGTGACACATCGATTTTTATTTTCTGTGCTTGTTTCTAACGGAGTGGTTTCAAAACAAACTGTTCGTATTATGGACCGTTCCTTTACCAGAAATTTTTAAGAGGTCAACATTGTTTGACTGGATCCTTTACTTGTGGGTGAAGACTTTGCATTTGTTATGATATCTAAGCTTCAAAAAGCTATGACAATATCTAATTAGTTTTGAATTGCTCTATCTATGCATATTTCATTTCGATCGATTTGTTTTTTTGAAAACATTTACAGATTTAAGAAATCTTTTTCGATTATTATCTCCCAATAATCTTTGTAACGAGCTATTACATTGTTTCGGTGAACATGTTCGAACTAGCATTTTAGAAGCTATTTCGAATCTTCCAAAAGACTCTTCGGTAAGTTAATAAAATTATTTTATTATATTCAACTCTGTCCTCGGCTTTTTTTCCCAGTTTTATCTAATTCCTGTTCATTTTTTTCTAATGTCTACGACGAGAATTCCGAGCAGACATGAAAATAATGAACAGCAATTGAATAAAACTAGAAAAGAAGGTCCAGGACTGAGTAGGTTAGAGAATGCTGACTGGCAGCCTGTGCTCCGTTTGGGATAACAGGCGTAAGTAAGCAAGTAAATAAGAAGCTCGTCGATGCAAGTTTAGAGCATTTAAGGCCTTGAAATATGTCTTAGAACCTCCTTGTTTATTAGTGGTGTTGATCAGGTACTTAAAGGCTCCTACCTCTTCCTAATTGTCCACTGTATTTGGTGATTTCTGTGGGCTGTAGACGTCGTCATAATCCATTCAGTTGATAGCAAAAATAGAAAAAGTAAGACGAGGGAGCCTTGTGTGACATCAAGTCTTCACCTAGAATGCATTCCTGACCTGCTCTCCATGCACAACTCTGCATTTCGGTCCTTTCTGGGAGTCTCGTATGATCACAAACTTTAGAGGTACACCTTAGTGTCAAACAGTTTACAGGGATTGGTGTGCCAAAGATACGAAGGACCCAGCAAAAGTAGGAATCAAGTCATGGTCAGAGAAAAATAAGCCGTAGGTTTAAATACATGTCGATTATTCTGGGTCTGTAAACGGTAAACATTTCTTAGTCAGTCAGTCAGCAACAACATTTTCTCGTAGTGGTTGATTCATACTGAAAGTGGCCTGAAATCTGCATTGCACAAAGTCCGCCTACATCTGAAACCCTGTTGCATTTCAGACAATTATTTAGTATGTTCAGAACGCCTAATTCTTTGGTTTTAGGTAACGGAACGCGGTTTACATTTTTAGAGTTTGCGACATTCTTTAAACGAAACAGAATTTGGTACGCGTAAGCCTCACCGTACCATCTACAGTCAAATGGTTAAGCTGGATGTTTTTTTAGCATTTTTAAACAAAGGCTAGATTTGAAAAAGCTCTAAGGTAGTTTCTCATCTCTTTCAGAATTATACCCAGTCCAAATTTCAAGGACGAAAAGTCGTTAGCTGAAACAATATTCAGTCGACCTACTAGAATGTTTCTCGTCCAAAGGATACGATGAATGAGCTTTCGAAAACCGCTGAAAGAAATTAACTGAAAATCCGTGTGCTTGAGACAGGTGATATGGCATATGCACGTGATCTTTAGTCGGGATATACGGTTGGATAAAAGGCGGACGTGGGAAAGTATTGTATGAAGTGATAGTTGAAAATACACTCATCATCAGATATATATACTATAGAGTAGAAAAGGTGGTGTTGAGTCATGAGAAGCTAGACTTTGGCCGATCAAGATATTATGCAACGTTTGATATTTCACCATCAAAACTTATTGTGGAAAGAAATAAATCACAGTTGGCAACCAGTCGATGACCAGTAAGGAAACAAATACAAACAATCTATTCCTAAATAAACCAAAAGGTGAAATCTTACGAACGAGCTTTGTGAGGGTAGTGTTGTATAGGCGAAAGTAGACAGTAATTGGTTATTTCCTGACTAGCTGACTGGTAGATAATCAGATAGTGTTATCTGATGTACCATGCATATTATCTAAACTTTGTATGTACTTAGTTACTGGCTAATATACATTCTGGTCTGGTGACTATCATGTTCTTGGTGTGAGTTGTGTTGATGGGTGATACGTTAGTTGCTGGTGGGGGTACTTAGTATAGAGGGAGTCAACTGTATACTCAAGATAGTCCTTTGATCGTCTTTTTCAAACTAACGTCCCATTAATGTTCAGACGAAATTGAATTTTATTCCGAATCAGTTTTATCAACTCGTCCCACATCATGTTCCTTTTGATGGTTTGATTTTAGTTATGCTTGAAATAATCTTTTGCAGATGTTTATCTCTCACTTAAAAGTTGTAAATGGTTCGGCACTTAGTAATCATGGTCATTAAATTGATTGACATATGAGGTTTGTAACTTGTTTTAAATAGATATTTTTCTGTTTTTCTTCAAAAAAAGTTAACACAGATTCACTTTATAGAGAGTCTTTTAAATCTACGAAGTAGATTTTTGGATTATATTGATGATGTTTTTGATGGAAAAACTGCTTTTCGTAATCAAATGGATAAAGCTTTTAATTTGGCTGTGAATGGTCGTGTACCATCTTCAAGTATTCTAGCTTCTGCATCTAGGTGAGTGTTGTTACATTTTTCTATGATTTACCTTTTTAATCCTATAAAAAAAATATCTTTTGTCAACTGGGATTTTTTTTCTTCGAATTCTACTGCCTATATTTAGAATAACCATTGTCGATGAAGGTTTAATTTATCACGAATAACGACATGTTATTTTATCAAAATAATTGTACGTTGAAGAATTGATTTACATCAACATAATTTCGTGATAAAAAATGTCAATAAACCCCTAGGTTTTTTTTGCCTGATTTATTCATCTATGATTGTGTGTATTTAATTGTTATGCTTGATTAAAATCAAATCTTAGTAGAAAAAAATGGTCCAATACTTTTTGCTTTCTGAGTAATTTATTCATATTGGGAATTAAATTATATATATTCCTTGTGGTTATGTGAAGATTTACGAATCTGCATTCAAATTACAGGCTTATTTTCTAAGTTGGGCAACCACTAAGAGGAGCCCAGAAGCACTAGACTTCCGTTTCATCCTAATTCGAATTACTGCGTCGTGGATGCACACTGATGAATAGTCCTGTAGAGGATGGAACGGCCGTCCAATGCCTCTCAGACTCAGTATTTATTGTTTAGTTCAAAATTACAGATTAGTCATGCGAAAAACTAAATTATCCAAACTAGTTTTCATCAGTTTTATTCAACCATTCAATTGTGATTTGATAAAAATTGATAAATAATGAGCAGAATATAATGTATAACTACTGGTTAGTCGTTGATTGACATGATTTTTTCTCACAATTTTTAAAATAATAAATACATCAGCCTAACCAAATACAAATGTGTTTGTTAATGATAAAGCTGGTAGACGATTTTGAGAATCGTCTTTATTTTCATTGCTATTATTTACTCTCTATAGTACAGATAATGTCTCCATGGAATTAATTCTTTTCGTGCTTCAGACAATGTATCTATACTGAGATCTAGTGTTTTAATGATTCATTAATGCTGTGTAGTGTAAACATTGCAATTCTTTACATTTAGTGAGTTGAACACAAAAGATTTAACGTTCTGAACAGTTATTATGGATCAAGACTTTAATCAAGTAATATAAGTTAATATTAATACTATGTTACCCCCAATGGAGGATAGGCCGCTGACCAGCGTCCTCCAACCTACTCTGTCCTGTGCCTTACTTTCTAATTCTGTCCAACTGTTGTTCATTCTTCTCATGTCTGTCTCCATTTCTCGGCGTATTGTGTCCCTTGGACGTAAGGATTCCAGGTGAGGGCTTATCTTGTGATGCAGTTGGATGCTTTCCTCACTGTGTGTCGTATCTACTTCCAGTGTTTCTTCCCGATTTCTTCCTTCGTTGGAATCTGATTTTTTCTCTCCCACAGTTGGTTGTTGCTGATAGTGTGTGGCCAGCGAATCCGAAGTATTTTGCGCAAACAACTGTTAAGGACACTTGAATCTTCTGTAAGGGGGTTTTCGTAGTTCTCCAAGTTTCCGCCCCATACGGTAGAACTGTCTTGATATTTGTATTGAAAACTCTGACTTTAGTGCTTGTTAATAGTGGTTTTGAGTTCCAGATGTTCCTCAATTGTAGAAATGCTGTCCTTGCTTTGCCGATCTGCGCCTTCACATCTGCATCAGAATCACCGCGCCTATCAATTTTGGTGCCTAAATATGTGAAGGCTTTTACATCCTCCAAAGTTTCTCCGTCAAGTGAGATTTGGTTGGTGCATGTTGTGTTGTATCGGAGAATCTTGATTTTCCCTTTGTGCATGTTGAGACCTCCTGCTGCTACACTGGTCGTCTTCTCTCTCATCTGTTGCTGCGTGTGCGGTAGAAGAGCCAGATCATCTGCCAAGTTTAGACCACCCAGCTGCGTCGTAGTTGTCCACTGTGTCCCCTGCTTCCACCCAGACGTTGACGTCTATCATAATCCAGTCAATCACCAGGAGAACTGAATTTAAAAATTGTACTGACAAATCAAACTATACCACGTACTCCAATCGCTTTGAACGTATAAAATCAGTAAAGATAATGTACAACTGATAAAGAGCATGTGGTATCTTGCTTAGTCTGTGGTTCGTAAGTACTGAATTCTTTCATTAAATTTATACGAATTCATGTGTTTGCAAAAGTTACGATATGTTTAACAGTTATATCGTATTTATTTACCGAACAAATTGCTAATTGCGGCTCGCTACAACTAACTTGAAATTTTTCTTATCTATGATTGTTGTATGCATTTGTAGACAGACTAACTACAGACCATCAGAACTGTTATGTCGATATATGGATTCTTTATTGCGTAAATCTGTCAAAACTATGTCCGTTTCAGAAATTGAAACTAAGCTGACAGCTTCAATTGCTATTTTCAAGTATATTGATGATAAAGATCTTTTTCAAAAGGTAAGTAGTCTATTCCGGTAACATTTTAAATTGCGTCAATAGGTTTCATTCAAACTGTCAGATATTAAAATCTAGAAAGTACTGTACGAAACTTGTGTTTCAAACTCTATCTGTTTATTTTGTCATCTGTAGTTTAATAATATGAAATCTTAGTCTCCAATTTCTGCATTCAATAAGTTTGTAAGTGATTCACATTGACTATTGATTCTCGAATCCTAGTTTGATTTAGTATCACACTTTACGGTCTAATGTACTTGTCTCTTGTTTTGTGCGCTAAAACTAGGCAATCCAGTATCACATTTTTACAGAAGTCGAACAAAAAAGACTGAAGTAAAACAAGATTTGTCTGAGTTTTCAGAGCTACGTCCTCATAATACCGATATACAATATTGATTAACATGGGAGTTGTTGGATAAAATGATAGGAACACCGAAAAACAAGAAATAACTTGTGTTAATATTAGTGTAAGTTATTTCTGCAACTTCATACTCTCTAACTGGGGTGAAAATAATAATTTTCACTTATTATTGGTGATTTTGAATCAATAGTGTTTAAGTCAGATGCATGCATTCGTTGTTTTTCTCTAGATCTTGAGCATAGTATTTCCGCATACCTTTAAAATATCAAACTTAATCTGTTGCTTGAGAATCATATTTTTTATTACTAGTATATAGGAATCCTTAGTTTTAATCATGAACTAATCTTAGCTAAACCATCATTGAAAACCTGAGAGCATTGAACGGCCGTTTCGTCTTAGGACGAGATACCTGGGCAATGTGAATCCACGACCCCTTATCCAAGAATCAAACCTCTTCTCCTCGATCTCGCACACGAACGCCTAAACTCTAGTCCATTGTTCGTCATCCATCAGTGTTAATGTCTAGCTTTAATGAACTCGGAATGCTGCGTAACAATCTTCTATTGTCTGTCTCATGCCCGATACGGATTTAACTGCACAAGTCACGATTTGTAACTAGTAACTTCAATTTTTTATTTATCTTACTTGTTGATTGTTCATGAAAAAGTTTAGTGTTTTGTAAAATCTTGGAATTACTAATTTATGCAGTGGATAAATAGAGAATAAAATTAATGTTTCATGTTATTAATAAATTATATATTGATTTTGATTTTTTTTTCTTTAGTATTATCAGCGTATGTTATGCAAAAGATTAGTGTTCAATTATTCTTCCATGCTTGAACTTGAAGAATCTGTAATTAATCAGTTAAAAACCGTGTGCGGTTATGAATTTACTTCGAAATTTCAGCGTATGTTTAATGATATACAACTTAGTCCTGAATTAAATCGGAAATTTACGGAGTATTTACAATCAAAAGATTTACGTTTTACATTTGGTCATCATTTTCACGTTTTAACAGTAAGTAAACTTCTTACTAATAGTTGTAATTAACTTAAATTAATATTATTGTACAATACCATGTTTAAAAAAGTTAAACATCTCGATAGAGTAGTGCAATTGTTTAAGGTTTCTAAATATGCGGACTCATTTTGTGCCAATTATGTCTTCACTTAATAGTTAGAGGGTAGTCAAAGAAAGAATCAATGAACTGAACAAAACTTCTATTATCATAAAATCAATGTGTACCAGTTTTGTCAAAAGGATCAATTCTCGATAACCTAACTTCCATGCTCAGAATATACAAACAATAATCCGGAGCAAATCTAAAAGTGGCTAGAACCTTAAGTGATTTCATTGCGAATATAGTTTGCTTTCAAGTCATTTTTATCATTAGTGGTGTTGAGTAAAGTTCATCCATTATTCAAAGAGTACTAGACATAAAATAAAACATATTTCAAATATTCCTAATGTCATTTTATCAAGGCTAGTAGTCGGATACGTGCTTATCCATTACTGTTTTATTTGATAGCATATTTGACAGTTACAATATCTGACTTGGTCACTTCTGACAATTAGTTCAATTATTCCGAACAATTGCACATATAGTTCATGCATTCAAGTGATGATGAAATCAGATTATATAGTCATCGTGTCCAGTCAGTTATCTAAATAAGGAGTATTGACAATTGACGAAATCAGCATGGCGATTAGACAAATCAAGAGTGGTTGAGCAGCGAGCCAGACAACACACCAGCTAAGGTATTGAAAGCAGACAAAGTACTAACTGCAAGAATGTCCGACGGTGGTTGCACCGAACTGAGTGATTAATATTATAATCAGTTAAAGTGACTAAACCCCATGTTAATACCTGTTCAATTAGGAATGTCAGTCTACTTGTGATTAACTGTTAGTTTCTGCCATGTATTTAACAAAACATCCATGCTATTTTATTCGTAGTAACTTTGTCTTCATACATCTTCCTAAAACCCCAAAAATCTGTGTGAAACTTTCCAGTGGTTAATTTTATGCATCATCACAACGATTTAATGAAACTAGTTTGAGTGAACACTGTTATACATTACTAACTCCAAATTAAATTTCAGTTTTAGTGGTGATGGGTAGTTGTCAGGAAGGCCCAGACCTAGGTTTCATACTGTCCGGTACTCATCAGCAAGTTATGCGAGTAAATTTGAGGGAACTGATGGGTTCGATCCCGTGTTACCCACCTTCACTGTCATACGTTACCGCTAAACTATTCAAGACACAATTGACCTCCTTTATAAGTAAGATATTTATGTAGAGTAAACGCGTTTTGACACATTCTAGAGGTAAATTTTTGTTTATACGATATGGACCATTCGACCGCATACATTGAAATATGCATTATAGTTCCAGATTTATATTTTGTCTTGTCAATTTTGGTTTGTACAATGTCATTGCATCAATATGTTGTTTAGAGCCAAATAAGTAGAATTAGGAACTGAAATATTCTCCAACTTCTGCTATACTAGACCTTTTCTTCATTTTTTTGCCAGCAATGTTCATGGCCAATTTCGCTTAGTGGTGTTACAGATTTTTTGCTCCCACTCGAATTGTATACTTGTACTTATCATTTTGAAGAATTCTATACAGCTGCTCATCAAGGAAGAAAAATGAGATGGGCACATAGTTATTCAACAGCAGAAATTCAAGTGCTTTTCACTGATAAAGCCTATCAAATACAAGCTCCTGCTATTAATGCAGCTATTCTACTATTTTTTGATCATATGGATTCAGATCGTGTCACAGTAAAAGATTTACATTTCGGATTACAGCTAACTGTATCTGAAGGTCGATCAACTATATGTAGTGGAAATAATCCTCCGTCTAAACGAAATACAGCAGCCACTGACTCTTCAATTACCAGTAAAATGGAAACTTGTCCTCAAGATGTACTTGATTCTTCATGTGAACTGGACCTTATTCAACGACTTTTAACACCATTAATTGAGTTGAACATTATTTATATCGAAACAACTGAAGGGCAAAGTAATAATTCATTGGGTAACATCCTGACAGTAAGTTATTGATAGCATAATATATATCTAACCATTTGTATTTGTGTAGATGGATAGCGTTATTGCCTTGAATCGTTCGTTTACCAACAAACGTCTAAAGCTAAAAGTGAATTTCGGTTCACAAGGAAAAGAATCAAATCAAGTAAGATACTTATGGATATATATGATTTCTCGTAAATGTACACATTTATTAACTTGATTACTATGAAATTGCCGAAGTAAAAGATGTGTGACTCGGAAGTCTTACATGTTGGTAGGAGAGTCCTCTCTGTGTCAAATAGGTCCTGATGATAATAGGCAAACCAGGCGAAAGTTAACTTTTGATCATGTAATCGTAACAGAAAACAAATTACTGATCTGACCTTCGGGAGTACTTATACCAACTAAATCTCAAAATGCGTTTGATGTTTTGACTAATTAAATGACAGTGCCATGTTTGTGTAGTCATACATTTGTAATGATCCCATCCTTGTATAAAAAGAGTAGAAATATATTAAACAATGACCCAGTGTTACCAACATTTTCCACGCTATTTACATCATGAACTGACCCTAAGAAACCACCGAAATAAAAAACACAATTGAAAGCGTTTACGTTTTAGTACAAGACGCGTAGTCAATGTCTTTTCATGAACTTGAATCCAGAATCTTGAGCTTTTGATCACTAGGCTGAGATTCATTAATCAACGAACTTACCAACTGTTTTGATCTATAGAGCTCTTAACTGGTTCTACCAGTGGAGAGTACACGTTTGTGAGATTGACTAAACCTCCTAACTTAAGCATCATCTATACAGGGACCGTTATTAAGTATTGCTAAATTTGTTCTTGTTACTTATTTTTCAGTCCGAAGGTGACCAGGTTGATCGTCAAGTGAACGAGGATCGGCGTTACTTCATACAAGCGGCTATTGTACGTATTTTAAAGTCTCGACGACAGATAAAGCATGCTCAACTTATTGAAACTATTTTACAACAAGCATCTAACCGCTTTCAACCACCGATACCACTAATTAAGCGTTGTATTGAAGGCCTAATAGATACTGGCTACCTTGAACGAAATCCAGATGATCCTGATCAATACAGTTATCTTGCATGACCCCAAATGTTTTATTTTCAATAAATTACAAAATTATTAGAAAGCTGTAAATATTAATAAATAACAAACTATAAGGCATATTAAATTGCTCCTGTCTTGCCAAGTTGTTCTTTCAAAATCATAATACTGCGTCGTTGATCCTCTGGCAAAAGAGCAAGTTGTTCATCTGATAGTTGAAGAACTTGCATAATAAGTGTGACTTTTTCTTGTTCACCTTGTCCTGCTAAAAGACTGTTAGGGCCCATACTTGCAGCTGCTGCTGCAGCAATTGCAGGTGTAATCTGCTAATAATAAAAAAAAATAAAGTTGACTTTGAATACATATATATATCATGCAGTATTATGCATGTGTGCTTTTATCAAATGATAATTGTATGGGAAAAAACTATGTTCAATAGTAAGTCTAGAGGGATTCTATTTAACGATGAGATAGTTTAATATTATAAATGTTATCAAACAACAAAAAATACCTAAGATTTGTTAATAGATAGTTAAAAAATGAATATGTACGTGTCTATCTGGAGAAGTTTAGGTTGTTTACAAATAAGATACACTAATTGGTTGTTTCACATAAAAACACACGAAGGGTCAATCAATCAAAATAAAACATGTTCATCAGTTTAGGTTGTCACACCCGACCAGAATGAGAAGCAAATCAAGAAATTAATTGTAACTGCTATGTACATTACCTAAACGAGACATTGATATAGTTAAGTTCTTAAGCAGCAGCCTTTTGAATTTGGAAAACTGCTTATTGCAAGCGTTTTCGTCACAGTTATAATACATGTATATCTTAACATGATGAAAGAAATAAGATGTAATATCACAGTCTACTTCGATAACAATATCTGTTTTAAATGTACTCTGTAGTCTGTACATCCAAAAACCGTCTTCAACGTATTTGGCACATATAATCTTAGCATTCACACTCTTTTGAACCTACTTCTGTTTTCAATACATACGAAAAGGTGTTCAGCATTTGAAATTCTCTTATTATATGCGTACTTAGTGTATTATCAGTACCGGCCTGTAATATTTAGTCCAGAAATTCTTACCTGAGTAGGGGTTGGTCTTTGGGGTCGGACAGCTATATTTGAAGGTCCATTGGGATTGAAATGTGGCTGTTGTCCTGGCATAGCAGATGGTTGTGTTTGACCTGTAGGGTAGTCAAAAGGCGGCTGGGATGGTGGAGCAACAGAGTTGGGAGGAAACCCATTAGGTGGCATATTATTTGGATAGAACTTCTGTGGCACTAAACATTCATGGATTGGAAATGGGAAGCAGGTGGACAATATAAATAGATTAACACTAAGAAGATAATAAAAGCGGTAAATAATCAGTTGTTCTGTAATTGAACAACAGAAAAGTATTCCGAAAGAGTGGACTACTATTCAATAGCAACTAGTTTGTTAGCAAACGTTACTGTGCTTTTAGTATATAGGGTGACCGTTCATTTATGCAAGGTTGTTTTGTGCTAAACGAATGCAAGATCTTATTTCGAACCATACAGTCATAATGTTAGAAATTTGTCTTGGGATTTGATAGTTAACTGCTCTTGGTTTCGACTCTTATTTTTTAAATTGTTGTTATATCATGCTGATTAGTCAGAATTTGAATGCTATTGCTGAATACGAATTCTGAACCAGCCTTTCTGAAACCACATGTACTGTTCAGACTGGCCTCCTTCGACGTTTGCACACTAAGGCAGGTCGGATAACAGATATGATTAGCTATGTCTTTAGAAAGTCTGAACACCGTTGTCTATCCGAGACCCATATTCAAGATTAGTGACGTACTACACATTTGCTATCCATTTGTCGCTTCGAAAAGCTTACTTTGCGAGCGTTTATCTGGGATCCTGCGGCATCATTTGTTCTCGCTGGCGTTGGTATAGTACTAAACGCTAGAACTGACGCAGCGCTAATCGACTGGATACCCACCAACAGTCGAATGTGCTGTTAGATTAAATCGCTTTATCAAAGTATGAAGGAATAGCTGTGAGAAACAACACATTCCCGTTATCTCCGCCTACGCCCCGACAAGTTTCACAGCCGGATACAATCAAGGATGAGTCCTACTACCAATTAAGTGATCTCAAGAGTGTGCGTTTAACAGGTATCGTAGTTACTTACTTACTTACTTACGCCTGTTACCCCCAATGGAGCATAGGCCGCCCACCAGTTTTCTCCAACCAACTCTGTCCTGGGCTTCCCTCTCCAGTTCTGTCCAATGTTTGTTCATTCCTCTCATATTTTTCTCAATTTCTCGACGTAGTGTGTTCCTTGGCCTTCCTCTTTTCCTTTTGCCTTGAGGGTTCCATGTGAGGGCTTGTCTAGTGACGCAGTTGGGTGCTTTTCGTAGTGTATGTCCTATCCACTTCCACCGCTTCTTCCTGATTTCCTCCTCCACTGGAATCTGACTTGTTCTCTCCCACAGTTCGTTGTTGCTGATGGTGTCTGGCCAACGAATACGAAGTATTTTGCGTAGACAGCTGTTAATAAACACTTGTATCTTCTGAATGATGGCTTTGGTAGTTCTCCATGTTTCCGCTCCATACAGTAGAACTGTCTTGACATTTGTATTGAAAATCCTGAATTTTGGTTTTGTTTGAAAGTTGTTTGGAGTTCCAGATATTTTTCAACTGTAGAAATGCAGCCCTCGCTTTGCCAATCGGCGCCCTCACATCTGCGTCCGATCCACCTTTCTCGTCGATGATGCTGCCAAGATATGTGAAGGTGTTAACGTCCTCCAAGGTATCTCCATCAAGCGTGATTCGGTTGGTGCATGTTGTGTTGTATCGTCGAATCTTGCTTTTCCCTTTATGTATGTTGAGACCTACTGCTGCTACGCTAGTCGTCTTCTCTTGCATTTGTTTTTGCGTGTGAGATAGAAGAGCCAGGTCATCTGCGAAGTCCAGATCGTCCAGCTGCGTCCTAACTGTCCAGTTGATACCGTGCTTCCCTCCAGATGTTGACGTCTTCATAATCCAGTCGATCACCAGGAGAAAGAGAAAGGGTGAGAGTAAGCAACCTTGCCTGACACCGGTCTTCACCTCAAAAGAGTCTGTCAGCTGACCTCCGTGCACGATTTTGCAGTTGAATCCATCATAAGAATTCCGTATGATGTTGACTATTTTCTCAGGCACACCGTAGTGTCGAAGAAGCCTCCAGTGTTTTTCTATCCACGCTATCGAATGCTTTCTCGTAGTCGATGAAGTTGATGTAGAGTGGTGAGTTCCATTCAATTGATTGTTCCACAATGATCCGTAATGTAGCAATTTGGTCAGTACATGATCGATCCTTACGAAATCCGGCCTGTTGATCTCGATGCTGCTGGATGTTGCTTCGATGTTGGGTGGGTTCAGTGGAGCTGGTCGATTCAATAGTTCCGTAAAGTGCTCTACCCACCTATTTCGCTGTTGTTCAGTGTTCCTGATTACTTTGCCTTCCTTACTTTTCACTGGTCGTTCTGGTTTACGATAGTTCCCGGCGAGCTTCTTTGTTGTTTCGTACAATTGTCTCATGTTTCCTTCTCTTGCAGCCTTTTCCGCCGTAATTGCTAGATCTTCCACATATTTTCGTTTGTCAGCTCTGATGCTCTTCTTCACTTCCCTGTTTGCTTCTGTATACTCGGCTTGCGCCTTAACTTTCTCTGCTCTTGTTCGGCTGACATTCACTGCTGCCTTCCTGTTCCTCCTTTCTTGAATTTTTTCAAGAGTACCAACAGAGATCCATTCCCTGTGATGGTGCTTCTTGCGACCAAGGACCTCCTGACATGTTGAAGTGATTGCCTCCTTAATCCCTTTCCAATTGTTCTCCAATGTTGCGTCCTCTCCATTGAGTAGATTCTGAAAGGCCTGGAACCTATTGGTGAGGGCTATCTTGAATTCGTTGAGTTTTACGGTATCCCGAAGAAAGGCTGTATTAAAATTCTGTGATGTTGTCTGCCCCGTTGTCCAGTGCTTCTTTAGCTTCAATCTCATTTTGGCGATCAGCAAGTGGTGGTCTGAAGCTATATCAGCTCCTCTCTTGGTTCTCACATCCTCCATGGTCCTTCTGAACTTTTTGTTGATACAGATATGGTCAATTTGGTTTTGAGTAGTGTAATCCGGTGAAATCCATGTGGCTTTGTGAATGCGTTTGTGCGGGAATATTGTGCCACCGATGGCCAGTTTGTTGAAGGCACATAGGTTTGCAAATCTCTCACCGTTTTCGTTCCTTTCTCCCAGTCCATGTCGTCCCATGATGTCTTCATATCCAGTGTTGTCCATTCCAACCTTGGCATTCAGGTCTCCCATAAGAATCGTCAAATCCTTTGGTGAACATTTATCGACGATTGACTGCAGGCTTTCGTAGAATTGATATTTAACGTCGTCATTGTAGTCATTGGTAGGTGCATAACATTGGATGACGTTCATTGTAATGTCCTCTTTCTTTGTTTTGAAGGATGCTTTAATGATCCTCGGCCCATGAGATTCCCATCCTATCAGTGCCTTTTGTGCATGTTTGGACAGCATCAGTGCAACTCCTTGTGTATGTGAAGCGTTTTCCTCTTCATGACCAGAGTATAACAGCAGTTCCCCTGAAGCTAGTCTCAGTTGTCCTACTTGTGTCCAATGCGTTTCACTGATTCCAAGCACCTCGAGGTTGTATCGTTTCATTTCTGCCGCAACTTGAAATAGTCTTCCAGTCTCCCACAATGTACGAACGTTCCATGTACCTAAAAAAATGGTTGCTGTGGTTGTCAGAAGAGGCATCAGCCCCGTGACTTCCGAGGGAACTCGGCTTTCATCACGAGACGTCATAATTCTTCTTCCAACTCCCAGGGCAGAGTTAAAATGGTTTGAATTATTTTTTCTGGTTAGCGTTTTTTTGGCAAGTGAGATTTCAACGGAATGGGGTCGCCAACCCCATTTCAAACCCTCCTCCTTTATCCGGGCTTGGGACCGGCAGTAGCCCCCAAGGTTCTACTGGCGGAGTTAGGTATCGTAGTACTAAACGG